TTTACCAGAATCCATAATAGAACAAGTTATAAGATATTATTCGGAAATATGGCATCCTGCACAACAAAAATATTCTACTGTCAAAAAAGAAATTTTAAGCATTCTTTTATGCATTCAAAAATTTCAAGATGATTTATTTAACAAAAAATTTTTAGTAAGAACTAACTGTAAAGTAGCCCCTTCTGTTTTACAAAAAGATGTTCAAAACTTAGTTTCAAAATATATTTTCGCCAGATAACAAGCATTATTATCTAACTTTGATTTTGAAATACAACATATTAAAGGAGAAAATAACTTTTTATCAGATTATTTAACAAGAGAATTTTTACAGGAAAAATGTCAAAAATGACCAGTGCCGACTATGCCTTACCAAAAAAGAGTAAACAAGAAATACCAAAAAATCCTACTAGAGATAAAGGTAAAAAGCCAATGACTTGTTTACATGTATTACAAAATAAAGCTCAGATCCAATCACCAGCATTAACCAAACAATATACAGTTTTAGCCAAACTAGGTCAAAACTCCCAGACAAGGTCAAAACTCCCAGACAGCTACCCAAACCAGAAAATTACCATCATGGGCATAATCTACTTACAAAAAACCCACAATAACTGATAAGACCCCAAAATACTTTGAAAACCATATGGTCTCCCAATAATGGAAATAGAAGCAGAATGGTTTAAATTGAACCGTTCTGAAATAACAAAAAGAATTTTTCCTCAAGATTGTCATGTGGTTTCATCATCATCAGAACAAAAAAGAGAATTTTATGAGTTAATCCTTATTGATTCAAAATCAATAGAATTAACACATAAAAGGAATGAGAAAAAAGAAATCATTTTTTCAAAATTCAAAATTTGTCAGATACTCACTCCAAAAGAGTGGGGACAACATTTGTACTGTTACCAAAAGTTTACAATAGAATATCAGCTTCCACAATATAATTATTTTGATTATATAAAAGCATGGGAGAAATTTCTATTTCTTCGACCAGACACTTATTCCTGGTTCATTTGGTTTAGGAAAGGGATCTCTTTATACTTTCCAAAATGGTTCTCAGCTTGGTTCCACAATTTCGGACCAGTTAATCAGATTTTACCAGAAAGAGCCCAGATTGCCTTAGCACACTTTAAAGAAAAAACTAAATTTCAAGAACCATATAAATTCATCTGTTTTATAGCCTCACAGGATATTTCTTGGATCATGATGTGACAGTTTGATTCTGCCAAATTAGAATATGATTCATCTATACAGTTATTGATTAGGACCATAAAAGTTAAGTGGTGGGTTAATTTTGATTTAGATTTACTCACTATCGAAAGGATTGTACAATGGATACAAAATAATATTCAACATCCTCCTCTAAGTGAGAATGTGATAAAGGATAAACAAAAGCAAGTCTTTTTACAACAAAAAGCAAGATTTCTAGCTAGTTTAAGTACAGCTGAAAGTGAAGAAAAATTCAAGAAAATCATTGAAATCATATCTCCAGAGGTTACCAGTATATCCTCTGACAAAGATAACAGGAGAAGTCTTAGTCCAGCCGGAGATGATGATTACGGATATTTTGATAATAAAGATGACTGCTATGGAATCTCTCTATAGCAACAAAAAGACAATAGGAGCAAAAGAAGAATTGACAAAAAGAAAAAAAAAGACTTGACAAAAGAAGAAATTATTTGGCAAAAGAAGACAGAAGACTTGACAAAAGTAAAAGAAGAATTGACATAAAGAAAAAAAAGACTTGATAAAAAAAGAAATTATTTGACAAAAGAAGACAAAAGACTCGACATAAAAAAAAAAAGTGACAAAAGAAGAAATTATTATTTGGAGGAATTTTAGAATAGTAAATTCTCTTCCTATAAATTGTAAGTTTCGCTCTATTTGAGAGTATAAGCAAAAATACCAACTTCTATAGCCTTAAGAAAACCTTTCATTGTAAGAATTCAATTTCTTTCTTAAAGGATTTATAAGAAAGTGTAACAACAATATTGTAAGTTTTATCCATTTTTCAATATATTCATACATTCATCATGCTTTCTTTTATTTTAAAATCAGAAATGTATAGTTAATAACGTATAAGTATCACTCCACTTAACGTAGTACTTCAATGGTTTTTAAATTGAGTTGTAACTTTATGACTCGATTGACTTTATCAAATTGAAAAATGATATCTTTATCGGTTGATTTTAAATAAGATCTCTTGAGCTTCATTCTAAACACTCTCTCGCCATATTGGATCCAACTCAAATTAAAATCTTATTACGACTCTAAGTCAAAATTCACTGCCTAAATAAAAACAAGTGCGATAATTTCATGACTGAGGAGTCTTTGTTTGTTACCATATATGGGTAGTTTAATCCTTGTTCTGCTCTGCGAAGACAATATGCTTTGTTTTTTCATACGTTAAATAAAAAAGTAATATTAATCATTCAAATTAAACGTGATGTGATTCTTAACGAGATGTCAACGACATCAAGTGATAGTGAAAAAAATTCGTCGCGGCTAAAATCAAATTTAAGTAGTTTATCACAAGTTAACTTTTATGTTTTTTTAATGAAAAAAGATTACATGATAAAAAAAATCTAGATTATTTCTCAAATTCATCGGAGAATGATTGTTGTAAATTTATAAACATGTTTTAAAATATTCAATAAAAAATTTATGTTATGCTCAAATATTTTACACCAACACTTCCGTGTGTTTTAAAATTTGTAAGTGAATTTGAGTTAAGCAATTGAAATGCATTAACTACTGTAATTTTTTAAAAAATTTTAAATTTACTTTTAAGAGTTTATCTCTTAAATTTATAGTTATTAATACATTAATATTTAATTAATTTTTTTGACACTATCTAATAAAAATATTTAAATTTATTAATTTTATTATTATTTTGATGTATATAATTAATACATTATTATTTTATTAATTTAATTTACATCTAACAGGTTATAATTTATTACTTTATTAACTGTTAGATATAAATTAAATAAAAAATTCATATTAAATATAAATTTTTTTAGATTTACCCGTATAAGAAGATCCTTTCTCTTTAAAAAAAAGTGTAAAATAATATTTGTACATTTCACATTACTAGTATAAATTAAATTCACTTGTACTAGTGTACCAAAAAATTAATTAATATACAGGCGTAAAAGTCTTCTTCATGAACTAATGAACATCGACGGACACGTGAGAGTTTAAATATAAATTGTTGAATGTCAACAAATAAACAACAGAGATAACCATTTGGTTTGCAGGTAAAACCAACAAGTCAGCATTTGCCAGCCAAAATATTTTTCAGAAAGTTTACTCGGCTATCCTTTTTCCCTTTTCTTTTTGAATATTTTTTAATTAATTTGAAAGGTAAGATGTCAGCTATTAAATATTTTTTGTTAGACTTTATTTTAGTAAAATATTAATTACTTAAAAAACAAATACTTAGATTAAATTAGTCTTCAGAGCTTTAAGCCGTACATAAAAAAATTGAATTATACCACATATGTTTACATAATAGAATGTGATTATCAACTTGTTTGGCTATATTGCCATTTAAAATAAAAACATTTAATAAATCTTAACTACAAGATTTTCACTCTACTTTTTTTATTTTTAAAGATTTAAAATTAAAAAATTATCACTTTCTATATACATTTAAAATTATGAATTAAAAAATAAATACTAATTTTATAACTAAAAATAAAAGTATAAAATAAAATAAACGATCTATTTATCTCTAAGAAAAAGAAAAAAGAGAGCATGTTTTATTTTTTTTAAAAGAAACCAAACATACTTAAAATATCTATTTAAACAAAAATTAAAACAATTCACAATATGGATTCCGGATCGCCAGAGAAATGGTAGTGGAAACCGCATGTGTCATACGACTCATGCCACCCATATGGCGTTTTGTTGTCACTTTTCAATTCCCAATTCTTGTCTGTTTTTCTACCATCTATCATGAGAAATGCTGCTGACACATATTTTTAATATTTATTAAAATTTACAAAATTTACCTAATTCATTTTTAATTTAGTATATATTTATAATTCTATAATCATAAATTTTGATTAATAATTAAAAATGGAGTAAAACAATATTTTATTCACGCTCCTCTTCATTGCTTTGCTTGCAACTGAGCTGAGCAAGTAGCATGCTTACACCAGCACGCATGCTTCAGGGACGCGCCCCATTATTATTATTATTATTATTAATCGTATTCACATATTTTTTATTATTCTTCTCTTGATAGTTACTTTCACCCTTTAGTTAAGTTTTGATTTGAACAAAATTCTTAAAAGAAAGAAAACTAGTGTTTTGATTCCACGTGACGATTGCTCACCTCATAACTTCTAGTTGCTGGCCACGACCACATTTTCCAACTCTCATACGCATTCTACTACCTCCTTCAATTTTATTTTCTATTATTTATTTATTTATTACGTGATGATTGTGGTTAGAAAAAATATATATTTTTTTAAAAAAATTATAATCGAATATATGAATTAATTAATGTAAATACAACTGTATTAACAGGCGAAGGAATTAAATAATTTAAATCATTATTAAAAGATGTGCAGTTCGAGTAATACTGTTTTTTAAGAAAGATACCTGAAACAACGATTAAAAAATCCGTTTTATTTTGTTCTACCGATGACGATTATTTCCTAAAATATTCCTTTTTAAAATTTGAGTAATTTCATATTCTTAATGGTGATTAAGAAAACTTCAGTTTTACGATATTTGATTGCACTTGATTTGATTTCATTTGTCAGTTTCTCTCAGTTTCCTTCATCTAGTGGCGTGTACATGTTGTTTACTCTTCAGCTCAAGCTTTTCATTTTCTGGCTTACCATTATTTTTTAGCCATCGTAAAATATTTTGTTAGTTGTGGGTCGTTAATAATAGTAACTTGAGTATGAAATTGGAAAAGATCAACATAAAATAAAAAATTTGAAAAATATAAATAAAAGTACGTCTTTACCAACCTTTTTCGGTTCATTGATACTTAGTGGCAGCAAAAGCGAGCCCACAAGCATACGGTGTTATTATGGCAATGGTATAAGCATTCACCTGTTACCCTGCTTCTCAATATCATTACATAACAGTTTCATTAACTCTTCTTTTTATTTCTTATCGGCGAGTTACCAACTCACCTGTCTTAATTTATTTCCTTTTATTATTTTTTATTTTTTTATTTTCCCCGAGAAACATGAGATTCGGTTTACCATGTTTCACTTCAAAAACCAGGTAAGCACTTTGAAGCTTAAGCCGGTGTTTGAATTTCAATATTGTACAAACCCTTTTGACATTGTTTCAGTCTTCTCTCTCTCTTTCTTTTTAATAAATAAATAAAAGTAGTGCATAAAAGAATATAGGACTACATCGATTGTTAAGGTTGTCATCAGTTTATACCTTGTCCTGTGCTAGATTCGTGCTGAATATGCGTTTTGATCTTCTCATTTCATCACTTGCATTGAATTCTTTCAAATATTACAGAAGGGTATTCCAGATTTGTCTTCTGCTCTCTGGTTCAGGTGGAGTTCTGAAGGTTTTATATTAAAAGGTGCAATCTTTGGTCTTCGTTTCTTATTTTGTTCTTTGTTCTTTATGTGTTTTTCACCTCTTTGGTTTTGTGATTGACAAGTAAAATTTCATTGCCTTTTATTTTCTCTTGCATGTACCAGTGCTTTTCCTTGGATAAGATTACAAGGCAGCGAGGAAGAAATTTAGAGGGAGAAAAAGATAACACATTGTTATCATCAGTAGCTTTCTTTGAACAGATAAAGACATGTGGGATTGCAGAGAATTTGGTTTATTTATCTGTGCTTTATTGATCTTGCCCTTGGTATGTTTTTCTGCCAACTTTGTTCCTCAAGACAATTACCTAATAAACTGTGGAGCACCTTCCAATACTTCTATAGATAGCCGCAATTTCACTGCTGATAGTTTCTACAATAATTTCCTTTCCACTCAACACGATATTCTTGCCAACACCTCCTTAAAATCAATTACTTCCTCCGATGATTCACCCCTCTATCAAACGGCAAGAATTTTCACTGCACCCTCAAAGTATACTTTCCCTATTAACAAAAAGGGGAGGCATTGGATCCGTCTTTATTTCTTTCCATTTGCATATGAAAAATACAATTTGAGTGCTGCAAATTTTGCGGTTACCACCCAAAACAGTATTCTTCTCAGTAACTTCAGTGTGCAGAAAAATCCTGTTATGAAGGAGTACTCTCTAAATGTGACCTCAGACACCCTTGTAATGACATTTATCCCTTCTAGCAGTTCCACTGCTTTCGTGAATGCCATTGAAGTTGTTTCAGTCCCTGATGACCTTATTGCTGATGATGCTACCACCTTAAATCCACCAGGAAGCTACTCTGGCTTGTTGACACAGGCACTGGAGACAGTTTTCAGGGTTAACATGGGTGGTCCAACTGTCTCCTCCAGCAACGACACACTTCAACGAACTTGGATTCCGGATGAAAGATTCCTTATACAACCTAACTTAGCCAATAATTTTTCAAACGTCGCTGCTGTTAAATATGTAAAGGGTGGGCCAACAGAAAACATTGCTCCACCTTCTGTCTATGGCACTCTAACACAGATGAATTCGATCAATGATCCTCGTAGTAATTTCAATGTGACTTGGCAGTTTGATGTGGAACCTCAATTTCAGTACCTTATTCGGCTTCACTTCTGTGATATCATCAGTAAAGGTCTCAATGCACTCTACTTCAATGTTTACATTAACTCCTTGTGGGCTTCTAAGGATCTTGATCTCAGTATGGTAAATAATAATGTTTTGGCTACTCCATATTATCTGGATTTGATTACAGCTCCCTCTGTTAGCAATAAAATTTTTGTAAGTATTGGCCCTTCTGCTCTGAATACAGATTATCCTAATGCTATTTTGAATGGGTTGGAGATCATGAAAATAAACAACTCTATGAGCAGTCTTAGTGAGTCAATTACTGTGCCTGTGACTAGTACTACTGGTTCAAGTTCTAAGAAAGTTGGCATGATATTGGGTGTGAGTATTGGAGCATTTAGTGCAGTGGTCTTAGTTGGAATTTTGTTTCTACTATGCAAGAAAAGAAGACGTTTAGAAAGACAAGGGCATTCGAAAACATGGATTCCCTTATCAATCAATGATGGAACTTCTCACACCATGGGGAGTAAATACTCTAATGGCACAACAGCAAGTGCTGCTTCAAACTTTGGGTACCGCATCCCTTTCATTGCGGTTCAGGAGGCTACAAACAGTTTTGATGAGAGTTGGGTTATTGGCATTGGTGGTTTTGGTAAAGTATACAAGGGGATGTTAAATGATGGCACTAATGTTGCCGTTAAGAGGGGGAATCCACGGTCCCAACAAGGTCTTGCAGAGTTCAGAACTGAAATTGATATGTTGTCTCAGTTTCGCCATCGCCATCTTGTATCATTGATTGGGTATTGTGATGAAAAGAATGAAATGATCTTGATATATGAATATATGGAGAAGGGAACTCTCAAGAGTCATTTGTATGGTGCAGGTCTCCCAAACTTAAGTTGGAAAGAGAGACTTGAGATATGCATTGGAGCAGCTAGAGGACTGCATTACCTTCATACTGGCTATGCTAAACCGGTTATACACCGAGATGTGAAATCTGCAAATATCCTGCTTGATGAGAACCTCATGGCAAAAGTTGCTGATTTTGGGCTGTCAAAGACCGGGCCTGAAATTGATCAGACGCATGTGAGCACAGCTGTCAAAGGGAGTTTTGGGTATCTTGATCCTGAGTATTTCAGGAGACAACAGCTAACAGAAAAGTCAGACGTGTATTCGTTTGGAGTAGTTCTGTTTGAGGTTCTTTGTGCAAGACCTGTAATTGATCCTTCACTTCCTAGAGAAAGGGTGAACTTGGCAGAATGGACTATGAAATGGCAGAAAAGAGGGCAATTGGAACAAATAATAGATCCAACACTTGCAGGGAAAATAAGACCGGATTCTCTTAGGAAGTTTGGAGAAACTGCTGAAAAATGCTTGGCTGACTTTGGTGTTGACAGACCTTCTATGGGAGATGTCTTGTGGAATTTGGAGTATGCTCTCCAACTTCAAGAGGCTGTTGTTCAAGGTGATCCTGAAGAAAACAGTACCAATATGATTGGTGACCTCTCTCCACAGGTTAACAACTTCAACCATGAAGTAAGTGTTTCTGCTGTACAATTAGAAGCTACTAGTCTGGATGATCTTTCTGGTGTATCTATGAGTAAGGTATTCTCACAACTGGTGAAGTCTGAAGGGAGGTGATTTGAACATTATATCTTCTAAATTCTGCTTTGCATTACTCTTCTTTTATTTATTGTTTCAATGGTTTGTCTTTAAACGGTAGTTTTCTGCTCCCTCACAGAGGATTAAGGCACTTCATAGACTTGTAAAGAAAGCAAAGTTAATGAAACATGCTTGCTTAGTTGTAGCCCAACAATACGCTTACTTGTTTAATATCTGATTTGAGATTTGGGTTGGATTTTCTTGAAAAATGAATGCAAGTTGTGTAAATATGTTTTTTATGAACCTCTCCTCTCTTAATCAGAGAATCTGAATCTAAAATTTGGCCATGATCTTATGCTGGACTGCCAAATAGGGATGGAATGTTCTTTTAACAAGATAAGTGACAACACAGTTTATCTTGAGCCAATTGCTGAGCATGCTGTAATTCGTTATTGTTTGCATGATTTGTTTTATATGCTTCCAAATATGGTTACAAAAAGTTGTGTTCGTATTATGCTCATGTATCGTATCAATTTTCTGACTTCTGAGACATTTCAAGGTGAGAATGAAAAATTTAACTTATTTGATTAAGCACAAGTTGTTATTCAGCCCCGACCCTTGGTTCTTCATTCCTGTTATTCAAGTATTATAAGGGGATCTGAGCTTCAGAATTTTTACAATGGTTAAGACCTGAAAACTAATTTCCGAATTTTCAAAATCTAAAGATACAATTGTCATAACCATACGTATCAAAATTGGACCAAATTGACTGATTCGACCCGATAAATCGAGAATCGGTCAGGTAACTGGTTCAGTCAGTTTGAAAAATCGGTGCTATAAAAACTATTGAAATAAGTCAAGAATCAATGAAAACTCAACTAAGAACAATACCAAAGAAATCAATTTGAATTGATCAGTTTAAAAACTATATATTTTTTTTAATAATTTTGTTTATTTTATATTATTTTTTACATAAAAATTCATACATGTTATTTTTATATAACTTCATCACATTTAACCATTTATTATAATTTTTATCTTTAAAACATGATATTATTTTATGCTATTTTAAAATTTTAATTAGCTTGATTTTTTTATAATCTCATTAATTTATTACTTCATGTTATATAATATTAAAACAAATATTTTTTTTATTATCAATTCACCTGTAGTTCAACCATAATAAAACTAATATAATATAAATCAGTAAATCACTAACCATGCTAACACGTACCATATTTCAGGTTTTATTTTACTATTAGAAAGTAAATTACATAACGGTGACGTGTTGATTGTGTATATACTTTTTTTTTTGGCATTTACTTCAGCAGATGCAGCCAAGCCTAAAATGAAACTCAGCACATACTTACAATACCATCCCATGCAATCAATCAATCAATCAGGAAGGTTCCATTCAATAATGGTACTCACAATAATTGAAGTTGAAGAACCCTCCCCACTGGCTTCACAGGACAAATTCGTCACCAAATAGCAGAGGCATGTATCCGTTGGTCATTCGTCAGCAAAGACACAAAAAAAGCCTCCCAAAGATAAGTAGACACCAACAAAGGGTCTAACCTGGACCAAATGCATTTGATGACAAGAACCATATCCTGGCCCTTAATAATATTTATAAATATCACTGCGGAAGCAATGGCGAAAAGGATTTTGATCCCTAATACCATCAAGGCGCCTCTCAGTGATAGATGTTGCACGCAGAAACGGGCGTGAGCCCATATATGAAGTGGTACTCGAGAATGGACCCAATTGTGCTTCAAGAACACAAGATTAACACACGTCACCTATTCATCGCCCAGCGACAACATAAAATCCAAAAACTATAATCGGACTGAAAAACCAACTTAGAGAGCTTCTAGAAGACGTGATTCACAACCTATTATTACAAGGTCGTTGAAACATGTTGAGTATAAGGCCAGTGTTATAGGTTGCTTCGTGCACAAAATTCATAAAAATACAAAAGATACAAATCTACGATCCTTGCTGCAGTACAAAATAAGTACTAAATAGTTCTAAGCAAAATTAAATGTCCTAAGTTAAGCTAAATTAAAGCAATAAAGAAAATGAGCAGATAAGCACGTGGTTCAAACATTTGCATTACATAATCATTAGATTACATACTCGCAAGCCAAATCAGATTGAATTGCTCACTAAACCTAAAGATTAAATCGTTGCTATTTTTCATTATTTTTTGGAAGCAAGGCCTATTCTAATCCACATAAACTAATAGAACCAACAAATCAAATCTAACAAAGCAGAAAACCCTAGCCTCCAAATCCGTACAGAGTCCTTCCCTGTCTCTTGAGCGCATAAACGACATCCATAGCCGTAACAGTCTTTCTTCTGGCGTGCTCAGTGTATGTGACAGCGTCGCGAATCACGTTCTCTAGAAAGATCTTGAGGACTCCACGGGTTTCTTCGTAGATAAGGCCACTGATACGCTTCACGCCACCCCTACGAGCCAGACGCCGAATCGCTGGCTTAGTGATACCTTGAATGTTATCGCGCAACACCTTACGGTGCCGTTTTGCTCCTCCCTTTCCCAAACCCTTGCCTCCTTTTCCACGGCCAGACATCTTGTTTAACGAATTCTTTAACAGTACACACAAATCACAATCTGCATGTTCAAGCACAAACCAATTAGAACAACAATTAAATTAAACTAAACCGGATTAAGCACGAGATTAAGAAAATAGGTGTGATTACCTTGAGAGAGGAAGAGAAGCTATGATAAGATATGGAATTTTTGCGGTGGGGATTGAGTGAATGGAGATTTTGGTTGAATTTATACGCGGTGTTGGGGATTTGACCCTAGTGCGTGGATCCGTGAGATGGGTTTGTCCGAGGCGTTATGGGCCGTTGATGGATTGTTAACGTACGGTTTAGATGTGATATAACATTGAGTGCGGATCGATGACGTGGATGGGAAGGGTTTAAGGACAGAGCTGTCATTTTGATTGTACTGTTTGAAAAAAACTGCGTAGTGTGGCTCGTGGCTTTGGCGCCTTTCTCAATATGCACTTTGGACCCGCGCATGCTATCCCCGGCCGGGTAATTATCTGAAATTCAAACTTTCTAATCACAATAATACTAAAATTTAAAGTCTAATTAAGATAAAATTAAAATTCATATGTATCTTTTTATAAAGAAAGCAAAGTTTAGCGGGCTTACATATTATTTTTCTTAAAAATTAATATTTTTATCTTTAAATTAATATTAAATTATCATATAAAAATTAATATCCACAGTTAATCTTTCTTTTATCTCATTATTTATTTATTTATTCTTCTTTTTTATTATAATAAAGCATAATAAAAAATTGCTCCGTAATAAAGAAAATAACATTCCTTTTTTTTAGTAATGAAAATAAGATTCTTCTTTACCTGTGAGCTTAATCCCACCGTGGGCCGGTGCTATGAACAATAGTGGCCTATGAACAAAAATCTGGTGAAAATGGGCTGTTATCTACTTCCCTAGTCCTGTCTATAAGTGATTTGGAAGCCATAATACTAATTGATATTCATCCTATAGGAAAGTTTTACCTGCGGTCTGGTCTCTCTCCATGGCTCTAACTAAAATGAAAAAATTAATATTCGTGTTGGGCTGGGTGGTGCTACTTGCACCGCATAAATATATGAAAAAAATAATATTATTAGTCTCTGAATTCATTTACAAAAATATAATAAATTATTTATAAATATTTAAAATCTGTACAAATTAATGGTAAGAATATTCGCTAGAGAAAGAAGAGGCTTCCAAAGTTCTAATTAGTGGTAATAGTAAGACTACTAGGCACGTGGTTGTAATATTAGAATAATTACTATATATCACTTTCATGCTTCTTTCTTAGGCAAGTTTTGTGCCTAAACAGTGGCATAGTAGTAGTAGGATTGCTTTTGGAAGCGGCCCCCTCGTCCCATGGTCTTTTTCAGTGTTACCAACTCGAATCATCATCATTAAGAAAAGCCCTTTCCAAGATTATGGTTATGGGTGTTGAATTCATAGCTAATAGCTCCATGGCCAAAAAATAAAGCCTCGTAGCTCAGTATTTTGGCATCCATTATCCATGTAATATGTATTTATTTATCTATTTCCAGTTGAGGAGTGGGGTTCCCGCACCAACAATGTGGAGCTGCGCCCAACACAAGAGGAAGGTACGAAGGATCTTTATTTTAAGCTTTTTTTTCACAAGTTTATCTAGAGAAAAATAAAAGAAAAATAGGATACCTATTAGGATACCTATTTTTATTTGAGAATTTTTAAAAATAAAAGATTTTTTAAAAAAATTAAGAGTTTTTAAAATTTTATTATTAAGTAAAGAAAAAATTTTATCACCATTTTCTGTTTTTTTTTTTTCTAAACCCTTAAATAAAGTCTAAATAATTCGTGGAGTGATGTAATGCCACTAGCTCCAATTTCTTAGACTCGGATTCAGTGCAGTCAAGAACTGCACTATGCGTTTAGGTAAAATTTTGTATTTTTGTTTAAACGAAAATATATTGATTCAAACAAAAATATAAAATAATATAACTGTATGGCGTAGTTACAACACTGAATTCAAATCTAAATTTTTTATCAACATTGCCTTTGTATACATACTCACCCAAAAAAATCACTAATAGTTTTTTTTATATATATTTGCTAGGGGTATAGACTCAGCTTGATAGAAAATTTAATTTTTTTAATTTAAAATTATGAATCTGTGTTATTAATATGATAATTATACTGATAAACATTTGATATATAAATTTAGATGTATATCATTCTTACTTCGTGTTATCAGTATATATTTTATTATTATTATAAAATTATAATGTTTATATATTAATAGTCTAAATTTTATCAAAAAATTTACTCCTATGAATTTTTTTTGTTACATTCTGAGAGTTAACTAAAGGGCAAGCAGTTAAACCTTTTTTGTTTAAAAGTTAAAAATTTAATTTTCTATCTTTTAATGAGAAGCGTGTATCTTGATAAAAACATGTAATTAAAATTAATTTTTATATTTATTTTAATCAAACATTTGGTAAAAATAATTAATTAAAATTATTTATATTCAACTTTAAATTAAATACACACACAGTAAAGAGTACTTTCTAATTTTGGTATTGTGATTGACTAACTCTTTAATTAACAGTTAAGTTTTCATCCCCATATTAGTAAAAAAATTATATATATTGAGAATGTAAAGATTTTTTATATTGTTATCTAATTGTAGATTATCATGTAACAAAAATTCTTAATTTTTCTGATAATTAAATATTATTGTAGTAACTTATTTACATATATAAAATTATTTTCACTGTAATTTTATAATCGCGTCTCAATTAACAGTTTGACAGAAAGGGAGAAACTTCAGCTTCAATAGTAAGTGCATCAAGAAGCTACGTTATGCCATGGATGTAAATGAAATATTAGACAAATAGGCTCAAACTCTTTAAAATATGTCTTATAAATGGAAATTAACATAATGGAAACAAAAAACATAACAAAATTTATAAATCGTGTATGAAATGTAGATACAAAATGAATGATAATTGGAAGGACTCGAGCTCCTTCTTGCTATTCACAATCCCAAATCATTGTCATTCCAGATTAAGGCAGTTAAGGAGGGAATGACATGAATCTTGGGGAAAGTTCATCTTCTTTTGTTAAAACCAAATAAATGAATAGCATGTCTTTTTACTCTTATTCCTTGTCTTTCAATTATATTTTATTAGTAATGATTTTCTTTTGTATTCTTTTTTTAATCTCTCAAACAAACTTAATAGGACACATTTTCATTTCAGTACTAACACATTTATCTATCCAAGTAGCCCAAAAAAGATATTAAGAAGCAAACAAAAGAGTGAAAAGACCCATAATTTTGGATATCTCTTTTATAATTCTTGTTTGTATTTTGTGGGTATTAAAACGCCGCTCATATACCTAGTGGCTAACACACCGCCGGATGACAAATATGATAGGGTTGTCATCTTTTCCACTTTTGAATGTTACCCTAAAAATTATAGCATTTAGCTCAATTTGAGAGAAGCATGGATTCAATCATACTAGAGAGTATATAATATAATCTCGTATCAATCCTCAAATCACAACTTGTTGGCTAAAGCGTACGAGTCCCTAATTTATGACTAGTGAAAAGTAGAAAACAGCTGATTATGCATTCTTAAATTAATCAGTCTACAACAGGTAGACCAATCGATTTCAAATATTTTCGGAAGCTTAAGATTGTTAAAAAGTTTGTGTAATGATTTACACGTCAATATGTTTACACTTTTGGTCCACACCTAATTATTTAGCTAAAAATAATAAGAGAGACTATGTGAAGTATATTCGATCGTCTTCTTTATTATATAGATAAAAGTGTAAGAATGCAAAAAGATAAAGAGTAAATATCATCAGCTGAAAAGATCTTTGGACACGTTGAAGTGGAATAGGGCTTAAATTATTCCCTCAAAGTTATACTTTAAGTGTGCCCTACCAATTAAAGGTTCAACGATCAATTTAAAATGATTGATGAATTCATCTACTTGTAGCATATCTCTACATATGATTTACATATATTGAAAATGGAAAATTATAACTTATTTGTGGTCATATTAATAAAAACTTACCACTTTTAACTAAATGTAAATGGTGTGATTTTAAGTGGTATGTTATAAGTATTTGTCCACGTAATATTGTTAATGTTTTATTTGACGTGCATTAAAATTAATGATCCATGTTTATTAGCAAAACAATAAGCTTATAATGTAAAAGAACAGAAAGATCATTACAAAAAAATTTGAACTCCAAAATCATTTTTCTTGTTTGTTGAAGTTTCTTAAAGGTGATCGATTTCATACCATAATCAGTACAAAATTTGATGTGTTCAATTTGTCACATATTAAATTTGTAGAAGTTATATATTGATACTTTCATGTCAGAAGGTTTTTTTTTCCTTCCATAAAAATTGAGTCGATAATGAGCTTAGAAAAAATCGAACTTGACTTTAAAATATCCAAAGCTTGTTGATTGAAATTTTGAAATGGCTCTGTATAGGTTTATTAATTTTTTTGCAATTATTTTTGAGAATCTGCTTTGGGGTCCCTGGTAATCCAAAGACATTATTGAACATTGAAGTTCTGCTTGACAAGCTAATAATGATCTTGGACTTTCGGCACTTCATTACAGAAAAGTGAAATGTAGCAGAGATAACTTCAAATTAAATGTTTATCTTCTCGTGATATCTTCTTGTGACTTTTGGGATTGCTCCTCGCCGTTTTTAGAATAATCCCACTGATGTTCTTGGATTTGCCATTAATATCTACCCTCTTTGACCTTAAATAACACGAAGCATTATCACGACAAGACTTGATTTTGACTCTTGGCTTGATTACTTCAATGAAAGTGCAATATCATTAGCTCAAACCTGCCAAGGACTTGGCTTGTGCCCCCTACTTCCATGCTTTTATTATTTTTGCCCCTTTCGAGAGCATTAATTGGTAGCATCCCTTTTGGACTTCAAGTTAGAGTGGGAAAAAAACAAGGTAATTTGTTGCTAACGATTTTTTTTTCTTGTATACCCTTTAATTTGTAACGATTTTTATAATCTAACTCAAAGCACACAGGACACTCTTCAATGGCAATACACGCAAATGAATTACAATGGTAAAGAACCCAATTATTTACCCTTTTGCTATTCTTTAACGGTGATAAAAATACAAGCGTGATATGTTTCATCAAGTGGGAAGAAAAGGTCTTTGTGGCTGAGCTTGAAGACAAATTCAGAGCACTCTATTGTTGTCCAAGATTTCACTGTAAAGAAGTGATGGGTACATCACCTCCATAGCGAAAGTGATGGTCACCATCAAATTTTACCACCGTCTTTCCTTTCTTATCTTTTTCAGGAAATCCACTTTTACTGTTTCTTTCTTTCTTTCCCTTTTTTTACCTAACATAAACGCATCAACAAAAAGACTATGTAGTATATAATATATAATTTTATAAATACATCATATAGCAATAGGAATTAAACCCAAAGTACAACTTGTTAAAGTTTTTATCCAACAATACAAGGCTGCTACTGAGGCCTAGTCTATGAAAAGATAAAAGGGCACAAAAAACTTCACCCCAGATTGAAGTCTAAAATTGCACATGGTCACATCCATGATTCAGATAAGTATATATATATATTTACAATACCTACTTTGATCACAAAAGCATGAACCACAACACTTAAAAATGGAAAGCAAACAAATTAACTGCCTAGCCATGCTGATTCAAGCATGCAATTATTTAATAAAACACACCAAAGGAGGAACTGCCTTGAGGCTCCTGAGCAAGATTTGAAGGAACTAATGTATCAAAGAAGTTGACCCAATTCTCTTCTTCTTCATCCTCTTCCTCTCCAGTGCTGATATGGCTCCACTGAACTGGAGGGTTCATTACAATTTCATCATTCCTAGCAAATCTTCCTCTGATACGTGGCCTGCTGTCTGCCAATGTCTTCCTGCAAGCATACTGAGTCCCAGAACAAAACATGTTAATATTTTTACTGTGATCATCATGACTAAATAGTGCAGTGGTGGACCAATAGAGCTACATACAGTACACTGTGTTGGAGACTAGTATAACATGCACAATTCATGTTAACAGTAATGGAGTTACTAGTTTTACCCTATAGAATAAGACAAATATGTGGGAAGATTTTCATGCTTCCCAAATCACACATTTTATGACAATACACTAACACGCTTAAACGTAAGATTGCTACAAGTTTAAGGTATTTTAAATGAATGAATTATTTAATTTTTGTCTGATTATTTATATAAATTTTAATTTGTTGCTAACCACAAAGGCTTCTTACACACCTAAAATCACAACTATGTGTAGTCTTTGATATCTTTTGTGTGGCCAGCAGGTCTCTATCGTGCAAAGAACAAGAACGAATCCTTATCTCAGTAATATGTTGAAAGAAACACTACCTTAATCAGGATTTGTCAAACTTATTACTATTTCCCTTAACTTTCAACCCTCGATATGATTTCAGCATGATATGATGCAATCTTCGAAAGGGCAACACAGTTTTTCACCAGTGCTTTTCCTCTTCATATAGTTTTGTCCAATATATATGTTGGGTGTTTCTTTTAAATTCGTCCAAGCCTCACTTCCACTCTCTCTTTTTTATAAAGTGAAAGGAAAAACATATTGGCATATTTGATGGAATACATATTTTTTAGTCTATAAAAGTTTAATTGGTTCATGGAAATTTAATTGAAAAACTAGAAAATATAAAGCTTCTGCATAAGTTTTTTTTTTTTAAAGGACTAAACCTTAATTTTCTTGCTGAAGTTCCTCTGGTTTCTCTTGCTTCTATATCTCTCAATCCTCACCTTCTTCTCTTCTGGGCTATAAGGACTAGTTCTGCTCATTCCTTCTATGATCATACTACTTTCGCTTGACAACGGGCTATCAGACTGATGATAATGTTGCATCCCATTGAATCTCTGCACCAAAAACAAAAGCATGATTTAATAATCGATTTATTGTTGTGTTTTTTTTTAAATGCGTGTGTATATAAAAAAATAATATAAAGTTTTATTTCTTAAAATTAAATTTAAACATATAAAAGCAATAAATTTTCATTAAAATAAAAATACTTGCTATATTGAAGATATGAAAGTGTAATAAATATCTTTTTGATAAATTATTATTATTAATATGAGTGGTTTAAGTTCATTCTGATAAAAAATTAATATTTTTCATAATTACATATAAGAAAGCATATGTTATCTCTCTTAGGTGTTATCACTTCTATTTTAAAAACTTTTATATATAATATCTGTATTATTAACATATTAATAAAAAAGTATCTTGAACAAAAAATGTTTGAATAAATGCTTAAAAATAAGATAGATGCATCCGATATATAATATTTCGTACAGAATCAAGTGTTAATGATTTTATATTACACGTCCCCTCTGTTTTTATTTTGTATGTGTACGTGTGTGCATCAAATTCACGTACAATTTATGCATTAAATAAGAGACTTCTTTCACTTTTCTTTAATTTAATAATTTTTTCATCTCCAACAAAAACAGAATTTGATTATTTTTTTAACCACCCGAGACCTTTTTGTATTAGAATACATTAAAAAATGATGAAACAAACAGGGAACAGGTTAAAGGTTGCGACAGTACACGAAGAACAGCATGGGGTGCGAAGCAGGCGATCACTGTAGTTTAGGTCTTACTTCTGAGCAACCTCAAAAAAACCCATAACCGTATGTGTGTGTGTATAGAGATACGTATTAAAAGCGTATTTAGAAGAGTAAAATACGAGAGAACCTGTAAATCACCGGTACTGCAAACTCTCCGTACTGGACCGTTCTCCGAGTCCAGCAACTCGGCAAAGAGAGGAGAAAAGGGGTGGTGGGTCCCATTATTCTTCTGCAGAGAATGGCTACTAACGCTCCTCTGCATCAAGCACGCTCGTCGAGTCTCGTAACTCACCAGCGAACTCGGTGATCCAACGTAGCTGGTACACCCGCTGCTGGTATTCGAACTCACCTCCGAGTTGAGTTGGGAGAGAGAGTCGTGCAGCGAGTCTAACTCGGCGAGGGCGAGTTGAGGGCAGTGATGATGCTGAGGAGGAGGATGAGGAGTGGTGGAGTACTGCATTGGTGATGCATCGAAATGAGCGAGGGAATCGGCGGCGCGTGAGAATGAGGTGTTACGGGGCGTATACATGGCGCGTGGTGGTGGCGATTGAAGGGAAACAAGGAAGGAAGAAGATTGTAGTATAGTTAGTAGAATGAGGAGAAATGAATGAATGAATATGAAAGGTGGAGAGGTAAGTATTTAATATTTTTGAGAGACAGAGAACAGAACAAAACAAAACAAAAGAGCCAACAGATTTGAAACTCTTTTTCTTTTTAATAAAGTGAGATTAGACACGAGACGTGGAGATGACGTCATCGTTTCGGGGAAGAGTTGACTTCTTCGTTGCCAGATTTTTTGAACTTTCCATAAACAATACCATCTTAATCGCTCGAATTTAGTTTAAGATTTTAATTAAGCTTTTCTCGTGACAAACATTTCTTATTTTCTTTCAATTCTGTGTCTTTGGATTCAGATGCAAAACTCACAATTTCCAAAATTTAATAACAAAATTGTAATTAATAACGTTCAAATAAATATATATTAAAGACGTTTAAATGTTATTTAAAATAATTAATCACTTGTAAATTTTTATTAAAAATTTAATTATTTTATCATAATAATTTTTATTATTAAATTTATGACATAACTTATCATTTTAAAAATTATTAAATAAACATTTGTATAATTAATTATATATTTAAATAAACGTTAATTCAAATACGCTGTAAATTTATCATGGTTTTAATTTTAATATATAAAATGAAACAAATTCAAACTATGGTTTTATCAATTTATACATGCCCATTATTTTTAATTTGCTTCTTGTGCATTTTTGTTAAGAAAAATGGAACTTTACGTATAAAATAATTCTTTTATTACTTTCGATCATGTACACGTGATAATACCTTGATGTTTTTACTTCATGCATGTATAAAAAATGATATGATAGTAATCTAAATGGATAAATTATAATTTTAAATTGTATACCTAATATTTGTTTTTAATGATCTTATTTTTATAGATAATGTAAATTTTAAGTCTTATTTTTATATAAAAAAGGTTGGTGTGCGACCAAATATACAAGGAGAAGCACGTTTTAATTTGAAATTAGCTGGGTTCAAGTTCAACATCATTCAGCCTATTGAACGGTATGTACGGGCTATGCTCAAAAGTATAAGGAAATGTGAGTTTTTAACTTGAATGACTTGTCTATTCAAAAAAAAAAAAAAAAAAGAGAGACACTTTAATTAGATTTATAATTATTTTGTTTACATTTTCTTTTTAGTTTTATATATGTCAATATGAAACACGTTCTCTAATTGATTTTTAAGTTTAACCAACTCTATTTTTATCGTGACTTGTGTATTTTAAGTTTGAAATTAATAAATTATAGAGTTTGCTTTCATTTATCTTTTGGTCTTGTATTTTTTTTTTTTATCTTTTAATTTTAGAAGGTCACAAATTTGTCTTTATTTACTAATTAAGTCCTCTTTTTAGTTTTTTTTATTACACTTTTACAATTTTTTCTGTTTCGTATTTTATTTTAATACAATTTTGATACCACGTAAGGATTTTATGCAAAGATTATATTAATCACAATAAAATCTATTTTTTTTTTCGATTTAATCTTTCGACTTGAGCCGCATATCTGGACGTAGTGAATGAATTTGTAAATTTTTTAACTTAAATGTTCTGTTCGTAAAAAAAATGCAATATCAAATCCTATCTGACTTGCCATATATATTGGATTAATTATTTGATTTTTATTTTGTCCTATTAAGAGACACCGCATATTAATAAAATATTAAATATTTCATCATAAATCGCTATAATTTCCAAATTTTAAAACATTGTTTAATTGTATTATTTTTATTTATTTAATGTTGTTTTAATTTTCGTGTTTTTCATTATATATAAACGCCCTAGTCAAAGTTTTCTTCCCTTGTGGTCACAATTTGTTAGTTAGCATTGAGTTTCATGTGCTAAAAATCCTTTCAAAATTAACAAACAAGCAACTTCTCTATAGCAGTACTATTTTCTCCTTTACTACTCAGAACACACTACTTAACACTACTAATATCTCAATCATCCCTCAATTTCGTTAAAGCCGTAATATATGTGGATAATAGGTGCAAATTTTTAGTGCAAATCTGATCTTACTTTCTCCTACATCTTAAGCCACACGTCCACCTTTTTGTGGGTAAAGGTAATTTTGAGTATTTTAACATAAGGATAAAATTGAAAGATTATCATCACGTATAAAAAGTAAGTTGAAAACAAATAGTTTGCAAAGAGTTCAAAATTATAATTTATGTATGCAGGTCATTATTATGTCATTTTTCATTATTCACATAGGAAGAGAACATTAAACGTCTATCACGTCTACAAGAAAAAAAGCACTAGATTAAAGCAATATATTTTATATAAGAAAATCGATTTAAAAACCTTTTTTTTATACCAATATCAAATTGAAAATAAGTGTTACATACAAGTCGCACATTAAACATGTTAGAACAATATGAAACACAATACATGTTCTAATTTATGTTTGTAGCATTAGATAAATAAATAAAATATAAAGTTAAAAACAACACATTTTAATTTTGTTGGAGATAAAAAAAATATATAACGTAACAAGACACTTTTTATTTGTCTAGTCTATGTGTCGAATACTATCATAACAATTGAAAGATTCGTTAAACCTAATGTAAAACATCTGGTATGTATTCGTATACAGTGCACATTATATTAAAAAAAAAAAAACTCAAAGTACATTGTGGGAAATATTTCTTATTATATATCAGTATAGAATAAATATTTTAATTAAGTTTTTATTAAATAGAATTTTATAAATAAAAACTTGTTCATAAGCTGAACTTTGAAAATAATTAAAGTAAACAAAACAATATTTGATTTAAAAAAATTATCTAAAGAGACTATTAAAACAAATTAAGAAAAGCTGATGCTGAAAGTTTAAGTTACTTTCATGAGTTTATCTAAATACTGCATAATTATCTTATACTCAAACCTAAAAGATATGAAATATCAAATTCTGACTTAAGTTAATATTTTAAAATTCTAAAATTTTAAATTAACTAAATTTAAAACCTTACACTTTTAGATATATAATTCGTTGAAATTGGATGATGAAGAAATATATCGTATTGTACCTAAATGAACATTTTAAAGGTAAAAAACATGATTTATTTTGTTTAAAAATGGAAGTATTATATTTATTTTGTTATTAAAGGGGTAAATTCAATCTTGAATTTAGACGTCTCTTAATATATTACTTAGTTATTAGCCCCTAATTACACTTTAGCTGTAATATTTTATATATAATGATTAATAATAATTTATATAACTTGAATGATAAGTATAGAGATAATTTACTTTAATAATACTAAAAATCAGGCTATTGTAATACTGTTAAAATACCGAAGAATTTATGGTTTATTTTTACTTTCTTCAAAGCCACCGAGTTATGATAATGGCACGCCCATAAGATAAAGTGTTTCGATCAAATGGAGTAATACCTAACTTTGAAGTATTGTGCCGAAGAGCTAAGGCTAGAGGTTAAATGGTCCTTCTCTTTTTATTAGTTTTTTATTTCTTTCGAAAATACAATGTTTTTTTTTTCTTAAAACGATATTGATAAAGATTTAAAAAAAATGGAATGTAATGTCAATGGCTTGGATAAATTCAGGGTTAGAGTTATATTTAACAAGTGATAATTAAGATCAAATTTCATACATGGCTTGGTACTTACATTCTATTATGCGTTAAATATATATACAATGTTTCATTCTTTAACACTATTACATTTCCAATTCTTCTGTGAGGATTTTATTCTTTTGAAATTTATCTAACACAGTGATTCTAAAAGAAGGAAGAAGTGACATGTTTATGTCATTTGCAGGTGTAATTAATTTTGAAATGTGAAAATGCATTTTGTTGCCCTTTTGGTTTGGCCGACATTGCTATTCGGTCGAACCTTTGATATTGGAAGCAACCACCAAATTTATAGGTGAAAAAAGTCAAATTAGATCATCATTACCTAACAAAATGATTATCATTAGAACTGATTTTGGCTAATTGTAGTAACTACTATATATAATATTTCTTTCTGATCATATATGCAAGACCCTCATTGTGCTTGAACTTTTATGGTTTATTTGAATAGGACGAAAAAAGATATAAATAATATGTTTTATTTATAAAAAATATATTATTTTATATTTATTTATTAAATTTCAAAATATTATTTCTTTGCTTATATATATATATATATATATATATATATATATATATTTGTTTTCTTTTAAAGCAAACCAAGAAGTGTAGAGAATAAGTGATTAAGGAAGCTGTGCCAATTTAGTAAGGAAATTCAAAAGTAAAAGATGTCTCCTTCATTAGTTCACTATTAATTTGTTAGTTTAATTATGACTAGATTTAAGCTAATTAATTAGTAACAATTCAACATACATTCAATATTTTATAATATATCAAATAATAAATTTATATCTTTTATCAAGATTGTAAAAAAAAAGTATAGTAATGATAATTAAGAAATCATTTTGAAACTTATAAACGTAGAATTGAAAAGAGTAAAGAACGTTAAACTTTTTTTTGTCGAGAGAAAAACAAACCCAATAATTTTGTAAAATAATGATTGTTCATAGTTTTATCATTTTTATATTAGTACACCAATGAGAAAAATAATACTGTAACGAGAAGTTCTTTTATAATATTATAAATAAATAAGGCTTGTAAAATTTAATAAAATTCTATTTGCTCTCTTCGGTTGCAGTCTTCTTCTGTTCATCTTCGTATAATAATTAGTTTATTTTTATCTTCATTGTTTTCTTTATATTTGCAGTATACTAAAACAGTCGTTCGTCTAGGCCAGAGAATTTTCAAATTTAACCCCGTACTATTTTTAATACACTTTTAATTAATAATAATAATTTATTAAAAATAAAAAGTGTAAAAATTAATTATTAAATAAACAATGAAAATCATTAAATTAATAATAAGATTTATATAACTTTTGTGATATTTTATTTTTTTTATAAATAACTAAAATT